GGCTGGGGCCGGGGCCGGGGCTGGCCCGCATCCCCGTGGGGATGTAATACAGGCTGTCCAGGTAGCCGCAGTCGGGGCCCACTGCAGCTGGAGGCCCCTCGCCCTTGGGAGCTGGGCTGAAGGCCGTGGGGAAGGTGGTGTTTTCGGCCGCTGTGGGCTGGCTCTGTGGGTCAGGGTGTGCCGGAGAGGTGGCAGTGGGCAGCACGGGTGGCGGGAGCCCTGGGAAGCCAGTGTAGGGCATGTAGGGCGGCCCGTAAACCCCTGGTGCCATGACCAGCGGGTTGAAAGGAGCCTGGTAGAGCCCAGCGTGGGACGCCAAGGGCACTGGTGGGATCAGTACCTCAAGGTACTGCCCCGTCTCAGGGTCGTAGAGCATTTTCAGCTGGGGCTGCCTTGGCGGCTCCATGTAATAGCATTTCCCACTGTCAGGATCGACAAGCATTTTTCGGTGTGTTGACAGATGGGGAGCAGAGGGCCTCGGTGGACTTGGCGTGCTCTTACTGCTCGGCGATGCACCGTCGGTCCTCCTTAGGCAATGGGGAGCATCCTCAAGGCGAGCCTGGGGCGGGGTCCCCAGACGCTCTGCAGTGGCCTGGCCTTCAGGAGCCTGGGGCAGGGGCGGCTTCGGGCTGGCTTTGCTCCCCGGGGCTTCCCCAGCAGGCAAGAGGGACACACTGCCCACCGATGCAGGGCTGGCTGGGTTGGGGATCAAGGGGGACCCAAAGGAAGCAGCGGCTGGGTTGGGTACCAAAGGGGACCCAAATGAAGAGCTGGCTGGGTTGGAGACTGATGGGTGCCCAAGGGAAGCAGGGACTGGGTTTGTGACCAAGGGGATCCCGAAGGATGTACTGGATGGGTTGGGCACCAATGGGGCCCCAAAGGGTGTGCTGGAGGGGTTGGAGACCAGGGGGGTCCCAAAGGCCGTGCTGGCTGGGTTGGACACTGATGGGTGCCTGAACAGCTTGTTGGCTCGGTTGGGCACCAAGGGGGTCCCGAAGGATGCACTGGCTGGGTTGGAGACTGAAGGCAGCTTTGGTGCTGGAGTGGATTTTGGGGCTTTCACGGGAATTGTTAAGTAGTTTGTATTCTCCACTGGGGAAGCTGTAAAATACTGTTCATTGGGTCCTGGCCACTTTGTTAAATGCTCCCAGGTCTCCCTCCTGTCCGGCAGCCTGCTAGTGAGCAGCGCTGGGGTGACAGAGGGACCTTTGGGCACCCTGCCCTCTTCGCTGACCTCCCTTGCTTGAAACGTGGTGGCGGGGCTGACGCCACCTGGAGACACGGCGGTCCCTGCTGAAACCACCCAGCTGCCCGGCTGCTTTGCTGCGTCAGGCCTTTCCCTCTCGGCCTCCCTGGGGCCCGTGCTGCTCACGAGATGCTCATTTATGAACGGCTTTGGGGTGCTTATTGCTGCTGGTTTCATGGGCTGCAGCTGTGTGCTGCCTCCAGGGGGTGGTCCCAGTTCGGACACCCCACTGGCCCCAGGCGACCCAAAACGGCCCTCGCTGCTGAGGGGCTGCTGCAGTGTTGCTTCGGGCCCTTTGGCTGAGGTTGCTGCCTTGCGGTGTCCCTCAGCTTCCTCCATGGCACTTGCTGGAGGTGGGAAGAGGATGGTCTTCTCCGTCAGCAGAACCGTGCTGCTCGCTATGGAGCTGGGAGCAGCCTGAGCCGCGGGGTCGTCCCGGCGCGGTGCAGCACCCCGCGGGGCTGGGCTGGGACCCGTCGCAGGGCTGGGCGCCCGCGCCGCCGACGGTGGGCTGAGTTGGGTGTGG